AAATTTTCACATGCTTATTTACCATTTGTGTATCTTCTGAAACATATGTTTAAATTTAATCCAATTAAAATATTTTAGTCTTTTAATAATTTATATGTAGGAGTTCTTCATATATTGAAGATGAGTCTTCTGACAGACACATATTTGTCAAAAGAAAAAAATAGGTATTTATCAAAGACTAAAGATACATAGTTTTGAATGTTTTCTCCCTGTCTATAGTCTACATTTATACTTTTTAAAGGTTTATTTAGAAGACCACAAATTTTAAACTTTTATCAAAATGAATTTATTATATATATTTCTTTTTTTAATTTTTCAAATTTATTCATTTAAATTGACAGATAAAATCATATCTGTTGTGTACAACATAATATTTTGAAATATATATATATATATATATATATATATATATATATATGGCTAACCCTAGCTAATTGATATATACATAAATTCATGGTAATCATGTGGTAAGAAAATTTAACATCTAACCTAATTTTTCAAGAATATAATCAATGGTCATCATAATGAACAATGGATCTTTTGAAATTATTCCTCCTATGTAACTTTAATTTTATACCCTTTGACCAACATGTCCTTAACTTCCCATCCCAATCGAAAAAGCTGATTTTTTAAAAGTATTTTCTATTGAAGTATAACATATTCCTTTTATGGTTACTATATCTTATGAGTAAAAAATTCTTCCTTCTTTCCTGTTTTCTCCTAAATGCTCTATAGGCTTAGCTTTTACATTTAATTCTATGATTCATCATGCATTAATAGTATCTGATGTTAGATAGGGGTTAAGGATCATTTTATATCTATCTATATCTATCATCTGTATATATAGGTACTTGAGTCTAGAGGTTCAGGTCAGGGGCTTGGAGTCAGAGCTAGGCATAACTGTGGACTCTGAAACATATTGTCTGTGTGAGCAACTTAACTTTAAAATATATATCATTATATGAGAAATAAATAAGAAATATTTGTACAGAACTTTGGATCTTGGCAGCCAGGAGTCAGTATCAGGGCATTGTGTTAGGTACACCATTGGGTATTCAAGAATTGGTAATGATAATAATTTTTTTCCATAACAATTTTCTCTTAATTTACTGCACAAAGTGTTGAAAGAAAGAATTTTCTCTAAAAGCCAAATCAAGTAATTCCAAGGGATAAGCAGACATTTCTTCTTCTTTAGGGAGGGTAGTCTCTGAGGAAATAGTCTTGAGGGAGTCTCTATTTTAATAATAAGCTTGCTGAGATCTGCAATCCAGAATCAAACTCTTTATTGTCCTGTCATCCACAGGTGAGGAACAGATACTATCTCCTCTCTGGAAGCTGGAGGGGACTTTGGATAAATTAATAATTGTAAGTTGCATTCTTCAATGTAGAGAGGGTTATGAGATAAATTAGAGGTTCTGATCCTTTGACTGGGCTGAAGGAGAGAGTTCTGAGCTCCAAGCTGTCATCTTTTTTTTAACCTTCTTTAAAAAAAATTGCATTGGCAGTGGACTGAGAGGAGCTATAGCAACTCTGATTGGTCCAAGGAATTGAAAAGATATTGGAAGGATAGAACAAGGGGAAGAAGAATGAGAATTTACTGAGGGAGAGAGCCCCAAAGTGGGCCATAAGGGGGAACTAGAGGTCGGGACGTGGGGGTCTGGGTGCGGGGAAGGACCCCTGTTGGTAGCCATAGGGTGGGGATCGTGGAGGACCAGTGTATCCATGAGGTGGCATTAGTGGAGAAGGCTGACGCATACCATGTGAGGCATAGGACCTGGGTGATCCATCGGAGAGCCAAATGGAGGTCCTGGGGTGGGCATGCCCACTGGAGGAGGTACAGGATGAGGCATTCCAGATGGTGGTTGGGGTGGGGGTTGCTCCCCAGAGCCTGGAGGTCCAGCATATGGGTGTCCTACCATCCCACCTGGTGGGAACGGTTGAGGATGAGAATGTTCATGACCAGGATGTGCAGCCCCTAGGGTTCCTGCTGATGGAAGGCCATGTCCTCCAGTCCCAGGCGGCATAGGTGGTGGGGGCATGGCTGGAGGTGTCCCCGGTGGGAGGGCTCCAGGAGGTGGCACCAGAGGTGGGAAGGAGCCAGGAGGAGGCATGCCTGGTGGAGGAAGCCCAGATCCCAGTGATGACACCACAGGATTGGGGGCAGAAGGTGTCATCTTTTATTCACCAAGTCTTTATCTTCCCCAGGACAATTTGGACAAGAGATAATAGAGTATAGCTTTATGGATTTAACTAGAGAAAGGGGAGTGCCTGTCTTGACTGTGGGTAGCCACATAACATGGTAGTTACAAGGGTAAACTGTGAGAGTCACATTGTTGAAGTCCTCCTGACTCAGGCTCAGTAGTTTTTTTTTTTTTTTGACTTGGGCTAATCATTTAAACTTAGTTGTCTTATGTAAAATGAGGATAATAATATTGTCACATAGCTCTTAGAGCAAAGCCCTTCACTATAACCCCTAAATAAGTATTAGCTTTAAAAAGTTGTTATCAAATCTGTAGCCACATGAGCTAACAGTTCTTGGAAAAACCCAAGTTCTGGCTGCATAAGTTAAAACATAAAATTAATTTAAAAATAAATAAAAATGCTTAATAAGGAAAAAAAACAACAACAAAACCAACACAACTTTACCTCTTAATTTTACAGTGCTGATCCACAGTTAGAGTGGCTTCTGCCTGTCAGGAACAGGCTCAGGTGACAGCAACTGAAGCAGAGATGGGAGAAGGAAGAGCATAGGAAAGGGACTGACTTCAAGATTTAAAAGACACCCCACTGGCTTTTGGTGCCCCTCTCTTCAGCAGCATCAGCTCTCAGTCTCTAGGCAGAGTGTAGCCTTGCATGCTGCTCTAGAGGTTAACTCACTTGCTGGTTCATTACTGCCCTCAGTGAATGGTTAAAACCTCCCATCACTGTTTGAATCTCTCCTTGTGTTATTTTCCAAGAATAGGGGTAGATCTGGGAGGCTAGTGGTGATATTTCTTTCTCTACCAGTGGTACTTTGCTATTTTCCCCATAGGCCTCTTTCCTAAGAGACGAATGGCAACCAAGAACTCCTCTTCTGTGACAGAGTTCATCCTCGCAGGCTTAACAGACCAGCCAGGCCTCCGGATCCCCCTCTTCTTTCTGTTTCTAGGTTTCTACATGGTCACTATGATGGGAAACCTGGGCTTGATAATGCTGATTGGGCTGAACTCACACCTGCATACCCCCATGTACTTCTTCCTCTTCAATCTCTCCTTAATAGATTTCTGTTACTCCACCACCATTACCCCCAAAATGCTGATGAGTTTTATCTCAAAGAAGAACATCATCTTGCACTCTGGCTGCATGACACAGCTGTTTTTCTTCTGCTTCTTCGTTGTCTCTGAGTCCTTTATTCTGTCAGCTATGGCGTATGACCGCTATGTTGCCATTTTTAACCCCCTGGTGTACATGGTTACCATGTCTCCACAGGTGTGTTTTCTTCTCTTGTTGGGTGTCTATGGGATGGGATTTGCTGGGGCCATGGCCCATACCGGAAGCATAATGAGTTTGACCTTCTGTGCTGGCAACCTTGTCAATCATTTCATGTGTGACATTCTTCCACTCCTTGAGCTCTCCTGTAATAGCACCTATGTGAATGAGTTGGTGGTCTTTATTGTTGTGGCCATTGACATTGGAATGCCCATTGTCACCATATTCATTTCTTATGCCCTCATCCTCTCTAGCATCCTTCACATTCGTTCCACAGATGGCAGATCCAAAGCCTTCAGTACCTGCAGCTCCCACATGATTGTGGTTTGTCTTTTCTTTGGTTCTGGGGCTTTTATGTATCTCAAACCACCTTCCATTTTGCCCCTTGATCAAGGGAAAGTGTCCTCTCTGTTTTACACCATTGTGGTGCCCATGTTAAACCCATTAATCTACAGCTTGAGAAATAAGGATGTCAAAATTGCCCTGAGGAAAACCTGGGACAAAAAAATATTTTCTTAAGAAACGAACAATATTTAAACAAGAAGATACAATGCTGTGTTAATTGGAGGCCATGTTTTAAATGAGGGATTTAAATTTTAGTGTTTTTTCCTCCTCTCTTTTACTGAAAGAGAATTTTAAATCTTTGAGTGAGTGTTTAGTGCAGATCTAGTCTGTCTTATGCTTGCTCCATTTCAACTATTCCAAGATTTCTTTATGTAAATTTCTGCCATCATATGTAACTTAATATTGAATGAGACTTATAAATAATTTATTATAGTCTCCTTGCTTAACAGATATTGGAGACTCAGAAATACATTATTACTCATGGACACAAAATTACCTGATCTCACAACTGGAACAATTCCTTGCTTTGCTCCTGCCCATGCAGATTTCCCTTTAAAAGTATAATATATGACAGTCTGATTTTATTCACAATATTCACAATATAACTTCTCAATAAGTAATTTTTAAATGTTATATATATTTTGAGGGCAAAAGATGAAAAATTTTGCTTGTCTTGGCCAAACAATGAAAGGAATGTATTAAGATGTGGTTGCCAATAAGATTAAGGTTGCACTTGGACTGGGTGGCACATCCATAGGATCCCAGCAATTTGCATGCTGAGGAGGATCATGAGTTCAAAGCCAGCCTTAGTAATTTAGCAAGCCTTTAAGAAACTTAGCAAGACTCTTTCTCAAAATAAAAAATAAAAGGGCTGGGGATGTGACTCAGTGGTTAAGTGCACTTGGGTTCAGTCCCTGCTACAAAAAAAAAAATCTCAGCAATCAATTAAAATTTCAAACTGAAAACAGACACTTAGACAAAAGTCTGGGTTGCTTGATCCAATTATCTTTCCTATGATAGTTTTACCTAGTAAAAACAAATATTAATTTTAGAAAATATTGCATATCAGTGCCAGTTGCCCTTTCCCTTTGCTTAGTGAGGTAATTTATATTTGCTGTAATGTGCAAAGCTAGAGAGATTTCCTGTTTTTATTCTAGACTAAATCTGATTGCAGTGGTCAATGGGTTGATTTCACAAGCAGACTCCTTCGAACAGATGTGTAGAAACAGATGCTGGGATAGATTTTGAGGCAGCCCTGAGCTTGATCAGAGGAGCAGGAAGAGCCTAAGAATAACCATCTAGGAGTCGTTGGAGGCAACTTCTTTATCTGCTTATCTGTTTTTCTGATTTTTTTTTAACTATTCTCCTCCCATGCCCATTTTCTGGATTGGAACCTGGTGGACCACACAGTAAAGAGTTTGATTGAGAAAGCACTGCTTTTTGCCCTAGGTCATCCAAATATTCTGACTCAGGCTTCTGATCTGTTTCTGCTTCCCTTTCTTTTGGGCATTAGAAAGTGTGCACTTAGACAATGAAGGCTTCTTCCTAGGATAGCTAATATCTATAGAAGTTTTTCTGAAACAGAAGTGATGTAGGTCTTGAAAGAGAGCCTCTGACTGTCCTTTGACATCTTCCTGGAAGGGTTAGAAGGGGAAGCAGCACTCATATCCATCTTGTGGTTGCAATCGCAGCCATGGGGAGATTGAAGAACCATCTCAGAGAAGTGTCATAAGCTAGCAGCATAGCCAGGGGAGGAATCCCAATGCTCACATGGTCCCCATTCTCTTTGATAGAGATTGTGGATTTGCTGGGTTTATTTGCTTGTTTATGATTATATGGCAAGGGAAGTTAAGAAAGAAGGAAAAGGAAGTGATGATGATGGAGTGCAGACATTGTCAGGTACTTCACATAGATCATGATGCAGGCAGTATCCTGGAGGTGGGGAGGAAAGTGGTCTCAGAGAAGATAAATGACTTGCCTACAGCAGGGCCTGATTGAGACCTTTACAGGGCACCCATATGCAATTCAGAATACTTTAAATTTTCCATGTAGCACAAAACTTATATGTTGAAATTAAAGTAGCTTCTCTTTAGAATTTGTTTTAATTATAAAATTTTAGAGATGCTGTTCAAAATTGCCTGTTATTTGGTGTCCTAAACATATGTAATCTGTCTTTTGGGTAAACCAAACCAGCCCCCAATTAAGAAATCTACTTAATGAAGGATTCACCACTTGGAGCTGTCTAACTTAAAAATCTAGGGGAAGAATTGTATAAGGTGGTGAGAGTCTCTGTTGCACTACCAATTCAGCAGAGGAGAATTCCTGGCCAACTATCAAGGTCATAAGTAATAGGGGGAGGTTTCAGCTACACATCTGACTTGGTGATGGTGGTGGTGGTGGGGGCTATAACTATAAGCTTTGCCCTTTGGTTGGAATAAGGGAGGGATGGAAAATCCAGGTTCAGCCTCTGAGGTTGAGTTCCTGTAACGGCATATAAGAGCATTTTCTTTGTGACAAAAAAGAAGCCAGAATGAAGACCATATGATTAATTTCATGAAATTATAAAAGAGGAAAAACTACTTTCAGTAAAACAATCTGTCTTGTATTGTCTTGAAGGTGAAGATTATTGGGATGGAAAAGAAGAAAGTTTCTGGAGTGGTAGACATGTTAGAGATATATCTATTTTTCAGTACTGTGCAGCTAAGAATTGTAAGTTTTGATGTACATGAATTTCATCTCAAAAAAACTTTAATCACCATCATTGAGACTAGAGAATTAGTGAGGAATAAATTAGATAAGATCGACAGAATGTTGGCAATTGTTGAAACTGGGTGGGGTGGTGGGGTATTATGTGAATTTATTTTACTCTGTTTTCATAATTTGAAATGTTCCATAATCCAATGTTAAAACAAAATTAATTTAAAATGGATCATTGAATGAAACATTAAAGCAAACCTAATACAGTTCTCGAATACGTAGAAGAAAACTATATTATAACTCTGGGCTAGGCAAAGAATTTTAGCACAAAATGCCACTGACCAAAGTATAAATTGGACTTTATAAAAATGTAGAACTCTATTCCTTGAAATGTACTACTAATAAATTGAAAAGCAGGCCAATTATTGGATGGAAATATTTTTGTTATATATTTAACAAAAGACTTATATCCAGATGCAATAATGAGAAAATATAATAGCTAAATAAGCAATGTATAGTCAACTAAGAAGATATATGAATTTCAGTAAGAATATGAGATAGTATCAATATCATTAATAATCATGGAATTATAAATAATGTATCATATACTCTGATATATACAAAAGAATGGCTAAATTAAAAATGTTCACAATATGAAGTGTTGATGAGCACTTAGAATTCTCATTTATTGCTGTTGAATATATAAAATGGCAATACCACTTTGGAAAACCCTTTGGAAGATTTTTACAAAATTAAAATCACATGTATTGTATGATGTAGAAAATCCACTCTTAGATATTTACCAAAGTGAAATAAAACTATGTATCTACAAAAGACTCATGTATGGATACTCATAAAAGCTTTATTTATTTCAGTTCTAAATTGGAAACAATCCCAATTTCCCTCAACTGGTAAGTGAGTAAACAAATTGTGGTGTATGATTGAATACCACTCAGCAATAAAAAGGAATTAACTACTGATATACGTATGAATGAATTTCAACATTAGTAAATCTCAAAACTTTATGCTCAGTGAAAGGAGAATGACTCAAAAGTATATAAGCTGAATAACATTTTTTATAAAATTTGAAAATAGACAAAATAAGCATAGTCGGAGAAAGCAGGCAGTAATTTTCCAATATCAAGGGTGGGAATCATTCATTATGTTAGGAATTTTTGGGGTTATGAAAATATCTTATATATTGGTTGAGTGGTTGTTGCATGGATATATGTGTTGTCCAAAATAATTTGACTAAACACATAGATTAGGTTATTTTTGTTGAATTTCAGTTATACCTCATAAGGTAGATTTAAATATTCATAGACAACATATAAATGTCCAAGGCCAACAAACATAAAATAAATTGCTGAATCACATACAAAAACATGTTTAAAAGATAGTTGACCATGATCAAGTGGGGTTCAAACCAAAAAGATTCTTTACAACAAAGGAAACAATTAAGAACATGTACAAAGATCCTACAGACTGAGAGATAATCTTCATTACCAGTTCCTCAAATAAGGCATTAATTTCCAGGATACACAAAGAACTCAAAAAAATCAACACCAGAAAAATAAATAACCCAGTCAATAAATGGCCAAAGGGATTGAAGAAACACTTAACAGAAGAAAAATATAAATTGTCAAAAAGTATATGAAACAATGTTCACATCTCTACCAATTAGAGAAATGCAAAATAAAACTATACTGAGATTTCATCACACTCATCAGATTGAAAGAATAAAGAATACAAGTAACAATTAATGTTGGTGAGGATATGGGGAGAAAGGTACTCTCATACATTGTTGGTGGGACTGCAAATTGGTGCAACCACTCTGTAAAGCAGTATGGAGAGAAGCATAGAGACCTGTTATCCCATACCTTGGTCTATATCCAAAGAACTTAGAACCAGCATATTTCAATGATGCAGCCACATCAATGTTTATAGCAGCTCAACTCATATAATATCCAAGATATGAAAACAACCTAGGTGTCCTTCAATGGATGAATGGATAAAGAATGTGGTACATATACATAATGGAATATTGCTCAGCCATAAAAAAGAATGAAATTATGGCATATGCCAGTAAATAGATGGAACTGGAATATATGCTAAGTGAAATAAATCAATTCCAAAAAAACCAAAGGATGAATGGTTTCTATGATTTGTGGATGCTAACCCAGAAAAAGGGAGGTTGGGGATGGGACTAATAGAAATCCATTGGACTAGACAAAGGGAAAAGAAGGAAAGAGAGGAGGGAGGGGAATAGAAAAGACAGAATTAATTGGACATAACTTTCCTAGCCCTGTATTTGTATACATAACCAGGGTATCTCTACATCATGTATGACCACAAGAGTAGGAGCCTAAATAGAATAAGTGATAATTTATGCATGTATATTTTACCAAAATACATTCTACTGTCACGTATAACTAAAATAAAAATAAAAATGTTAAAAAGTAAATTGCTGAAGCTCAACATAATTTGTAATCACATAAATATGAATTAAATAATGTGGTGATATTATTAGCATCAAATTGGCTCTATTTGTTGGGAAATTAAAAAAACATGGGAAAAAGACATTTTCATATTTTGCTGATAGGAGTGTAGTTAGTTGAAAAATACCTTTTGTAAGAAGCTTTTGGAAATATTCACAAAAAAGTACATCATTAGACATAGCAAATTTTTTTTTAGATCAAGCTAGGAATTTATTCTCAAAATAAGTAAAGTAAGTCAGGAAGAGAGGAACAAATACTACATGATCTAATTCATATGTGGAATCTGAAAATGTTGACCTTATAGAAGGAAGGAGTAGAATATAGGTTACCAGAGCCTGGGGAAGGGTATGGAAAAAGGGGATGGAGAGGGTTGGTCAACAGGCACCAAGTTACAGGAAGGAACAAGTTCTGGGGTTCTATTATATAAAAAAATGACTGTAGTTTAATAACACTGCAAATTTCAAAATGGCTAGAAGAGAGGATTTTGTATGTTCTCATCACAAAGAAATGGTAAATGTTGGAGGTGACAAATATGCTAATTACCTTGAATTGATCATTACACAATGTGTACACATATTGAAAAAATCACAGTATACCCTATAAATATATAAAAATTTAATGAAATAAAAAGTAAAATTGTTTCAAAAATGCATATTTATTCCAGCAGTGTTTATCATAGTAAAAATATGACAAAGAATTGACATACTAAATCCTTCACATTGAAGGGATATCATGAAGACACGAAGAAAAATGCTAATGACATTTATTTATTGATATGAAAGATGACAATGTACAGCATTTAAAACATAGTCCAGGGTAATATATACAATATTACCTGACATCAAACCTATGTGCCCAAATGTGAACAGTGGTTACTTGTGGGTGGTGGAAATATGAATGGCTTCTATTTTCTGCTCAATATACATGTAGTACTTATAAAATAAATTGTTAAAAGAAAGGATGAAGTTTTGTAAATTGCTTATTCAGTGTTGGTAATTGGTTATTTAGTCATTGGTAAATTGTTCTGTTGGTAAATTAGTTTTCAGTGAACTGATTTTCAGGAAACTAGACTCACTGCTTTAAAAGTGAGAATAAATTTGAATTTATTATTGATGTGGATGATTCAGTTGCTGGGAAAATGTTGTCATTTATTAAAATAATACAGGAGGAGTGAGCCTCTGAGGAAAGATGGGGATATCAATTTTTTATGTGTTGAATTTTAGTTGTCTGTTTGGTGTTCAGATATAGATAGAAACAGATTTGGAAGTCATCAGCAAAGGATATTCAAGGCATTGGAGTGCACAATATATTTCAGAGAGCATAAATAGACTGCCAGGAGAAGGCTGAATATCAGAAGGCTAACATCTCAGTCTCTTGAAGGAGACTGAGAAGTGGCCACAAGTTCCACAAAAGTGATGTGCCTTGAAATGAAATGAGATCTCATATTCCAAAATGGAGTTAGCTTCCAGCTGTGTCAAGTAAAATAGAGCTGAGGAGTATTCATGAGTTGACACTACCTAAAGTTTGATTAATTCAAGAATATTATAGCACATATAAGGCTGATTTTATTTTTCTTTTTATGGAATAGGATTTCCAGGTGCAGATAAATCAGTGGCTCCTCCAAACAGAATCACCAGAGCCACTCAGCCTGAGGTCCACTAGGAACACATACTGTCTCTTGAATTAAGATTGTAATTAAAGTTCCTGAGATATAGATTCATAAAATATTGTAACGCATGATTAAGAGAGTGTGTGGTTTTCCTTTCCAGAAGTCCTTAGAAATTTAGATAGTTTCTTCGATCTGTGATTAGGATTAAAGAGAAATTTTTATTCACCAAGAGAACTTTGCCACATTGCTGTCTTTACATTCCTTAATTTATTTGCACATATAAAACATTTAATTTTATAATTAGCCAATTAAGATGTCTCAAAATAATATTTCTTTCTACTCATCAAATCATCTCACTCTCTACTAATAATTACACTTGAATTTTTTTTTAGGTTTTTCCTGATTAACACCATGGGCTTTACACTTTCTAGTGCAGTCTTTATATCTTTCTTACCCTTTACAGTTCTTGTAAATAATATATTTTACAGCACTTTGGTACTAATTGGCACAACTCTACTTTACTAATTAACACTTTTCCTGAATTGAAGTCCTTTAAGAAAAAGGTCTTCAGTTTTGAAGAGTTTTAAGTTGCTTGGCAACACTCTAGCTAAAAACTTCCCAACAATTTCTGCAACTTTTTTACTCCTTTGCCAGCTCCTACAAGAAAGAGGAGGTCTCTTCTACAAATACCTTGACCTTGACGGGCAGAAATCCTCTGGCATCATTTGTCTTTAGTATAAATATTGTCTTCAGTATCATGTAAAAAGGCTCTCAGTTCCAGTAAACCTAATCATATTTAGCTTATATTATTTGTTTTTTGATGAGAAGAAAATGTTTGCTTATGAAAACCTCTGAAGAATTGTTTCAGACAGTAAAAAATAATCTCTGAAAATTATGGGTTTGCACTATTGACTTTTCTTTCTTTATATCAGCATACATTACATTCAGCAAGTTCCTCCCCACCCCCACTTTTTTAGTTAGCATTTTCATTGCTGTGATTGAAAGACACTATCAGAACAACTGTAGAGGAGGAAAGTTTTTTTTATAGGCTCATGGTTTCAGAGGTCTCAATCCATTGCACCTAGGTTCAAGATGGAAGACTAAGGCAGAGGGAAACAGCTTATCTGATGATCAAGAAGGAGAGAGAGAGAGAGAGAGAGAGAGAGAGAGAGAGAGAGAGAGAGAGAGAGAGAGGAGAGACAACTCTACTCTCCAAATACAAAATATGTATCCTATAGCTTTCCCCCCAATGAACCACTTCCTCCAACCACAGCCCACCTACCTCCAGGCCAAGGCTATAATCCAATCAGTTCCCCACCAAACCTCCTTGCATTTTCTCACACATGAGCTTTAAGGGGGACACCTCACATCTAAACCAGAACACCTCCATAGTCCAGAGGCAAGTGCTGTATGACAGGGATATTCCCACAGCCCAGCAAGTTTTTGAGGAGCATCTAGAAGATATTCGTTATCTGATAAATAATGAATGTGCTAGTATATCCCAAAGTTACAGAATTTATAATTTTTCTTGAAGATTATTTCAATATAGTTTTATGGATTATAATCTTTTTTTGAATATATTTTTATTGGTTGTTCAAAACATTACAAAGCTCATGACATATCATCTTTCAAACATTTGATTCAAGTGAGTTATGAACTCCCATTTTTACCCCAAATACAAATTGCAGAATCACATCAGTTACACATTCACAATTTTTACATAATAC